TTCTGTTGTAAATTCCAAAAGCATACATGAAATTCCTATATATCTATTATGTACAACTTGTCTAGTTGAAAATCAAAATTATGAAAAATATTATAATTTTTGCATTTCAAAAATTTGAAAATTGTATAATTTGCTAATGCTAGGAATTATTAAATAAATATAATACCTTATAATTTTAGAAGTTTGATATGTATTATTTTAATTATTAAATAATTTTTAAAATGATAAAAAATTGAAAATAATATTAAAAGTAAAAACATTTTTTACGCCCAAGCCTCGCCTATGTTCGCTTAAGCTCGTAAAGCTGAAAATTCTCCTCCACGCTTAGCCATGTTTTATGCTTTTTAGAATACTAATTAATAGTTATTTTCTGACTTTTGGCCATCTCGAAGCCCTTTTTGCCTTGCTGTTGCCTGTTGGCTTATGTCATTTTCCGGCAATCACCTAGCTGCAAAACTCGTGTCTTTGACATGCATAGTTGAATAAAATCGCATTCACAAGCTCTCCACATACACATCTATTCTTTCGGTCATATCTGTTCATTCAGGCATCTTTATTGCCTTATCCATATTGTATGGTTAGTCCAAATTACCCTTTATGGTCACATCCACATGTAAAACAAAAGTGGGATTCTCCCATGCCACACAATCATTATCATATCCTCTAAACAATCCACAAAAATCAAGCAGTTTATTTGAATTTGACATATAACAGTTAGTGCATGTTTGATATTGGTATTAGACAAAATTAAACAGTATAATAAACAAGATCTTTTTCCCCTTAACACTGTCTAGTGTTAATCTTGAAAGGTTGCTCAATTGGTCAGGTCTTGAGTTTACTATCCAATGATCACCAGTTCGAGTTCCCTCAAAGCCACTGAGGTGAATACTCAGCCGTAAACTTCAAGGTCCCGTGAGATTAGTTGAAGTGAGTGCAAACTGACCCAAACATCCACGGTTATCAAAAAAATAAACACTGTCTAGTATTATCTAATCCTCTTTACCAAACATGCTACCTGAATGCAAGCCTCGGCCACTAACACAAGTTTAAAATGAGGAAGCATACAAGTTCTAAATTACAAGAAAGGATAGAATTCAAAACACATATGGGGCATGTAACATGTAAGAAGGAATTACAGCGCCCATACAGAGTTACTTGAGATATTCGGAAGTCGCTGCATATAAGCAAGCAAAAAGCATATTCCAAACAGAAGATTATCCAAGTCAGAAGGAGATATTATGGGAGCATAATGTAAAACCTAGCCATGTTCATAAAGTAAACATAAAATTTATCTACTTCACTCTTTCCCATCAGCAGCACGCACAGAACCAAGTTGAACTGGTGCTTGCGTTCACACGACTTTTGAGGACCCATAGAGAGTAACATCAGCGCCTTGAGCTTTCTCTTTCTCAATTTGGTCCTTGATCCAGAAATATGTGAATTTCAGCCAATCCTGTACTCATTAGGAAAATATGGATATGATCGATAAGTCATATTTGCATAAATCAAGTTGATAGATACCAAAATAAATAAAAGGAAAAAACACTACAAAAAATGTACCTTCAGCCTCATAGAAGGTGCCCAGCCGAGCTTTTTCTTAATTAGAGTGTTGTCTAAGTTGCGACCATGCACGCCCTCTGGTCCTGGAATGTGATGGATGTGGAGATTCTTGTTCTCGAAGCTCAGAACAATATCCGCCATCTGATGCAGGAGGGTTCGAGTCAGCCGAAGCTGAGTTGTCAGATAACTCGTTGATGGCGCTAACGTACTATGAGTAGGCAGATCGACGTAAGAATTGAAAGTAATCGACGACAATTCCTA